TCCCCCCCAGTAGGGGGCATGCAGGAGGCAGCCGATCAATGATTGTCTCTCATCATTGATGTTTCTATCTCTCTCTCCCTCTTCCCTCTCTGAAAGATTGTCTCTCATCATTGATGTTTCTATCTCTCTCTCCCTCTTCCTTCCTCTCTGAAATCAATAAAAATATATTTAAAGAAAGAAAAAAGAAAAAAAGGCCAATGACCTGCCAAGAGGATCATGTGGGACAATGCCCTTCAGGAACAGGGATATTCTCTTGTATATCCTATTAGAAGAGTGTATTATTCTCCGCCTGTTGCTAGCACAGATATTGAAGGACAAGGGGGAAATATTATTGTTCAGAAGTAAGCAGTCAAGATTCTATGGCCCTAACAACTGGTTTGGCTCAGTGGATAAAGCGTCGGCCTGTGGACTGAAGTAATCTGAACAATAAAGATTTAATAAAAAATAAATAAATTAATTAATTAATTAAAAAAAAAGATTCTGCTATGTTGGGCATAGAACTGCCACCCACACAAACACATATGTGATTCCACCATGTGGGACTTGGAGTCTGAACATGAGGCATATTGATTTAAGGGAGTTTTGTGAACAAGGGCCCACTTTTGGGTAGTAAAAAGAACTCCACACTGGGATATAGTAACTTATCAGAGACTTTTGGGAAGTGATTATGGTCTCCAACATGATTTCTTCCAGACTTGAAGCAAATAAAGGAAATGTGCTTATTGATCTTTTACTTTTCCACATTTTATTCCTTTTTGTTGTTTTATACAGCTTTTTGCCTTGTCATGAAGTTACATTATTTCATGTTTTATTGTTAAACATATTTTTATTGATTTCACAGAAAGGGAGAGGGAGAGAGAGATAGAAACATCAATGATGAGAAAGAATTATCAATTGGCTGCCTCCTGCACGCCCCCTACTGGGTTGAGCCCTCAACCCAGACATGTGCCCTGACCGGGAATCCAACCAGGACCTCCTGGTTCATAGGTCGATGCTCAACCACTGAGCAACACCAGCTGGGTACATTATTTAGTTTTAAATTGTGCTCTGCAGTGATGTTTGGTACCAGCTGGAGTCCAAAAGGCATTGCATTTTTATTTTATCCATAAACATTTATCTGAGTGTATATATAATTTTTGTAGTACTAATGGAGTTCCTTTTTAGTTTCATATTTCACTAGTTAAAAATGTTTCAAAAATAAGTTACTGTAATGAAGTCAATAATAGAGGTCTGGGTAGCATATAACCCTTGAAACTAGACTGTTGTGTAGAGGCTCACTCTCCCATAATTTAAAAGTGGGTGCACAACTGCTCACATGGAGCCTACATTATCTGGCCTTCTCGTCTATAGTTAATTGTAGCCAATGGGATATAGTGGAAATGATACATGTGATTTCTGGATCATGCCTTAAAAGTCCTGGGGCATGATACAGATGATGTGTTATAGAATTGTACACCTGAAACCTATATAATTTTATTAACCAATGTCACCCTAATAAATTTAATTAAAAGTCCTGGGGCATGCATTTCTTGCCCTGTCTCCCATTTCTTCTGTTCGGGGTGGAAGTAAGAGTGAGTGTTTGTAGTCATTTCAGATGCCGCAATGGAAGTTGTGTGTCAAGATGGCAAAGCAGCTATGTCAGCCCTGAATTACCACCTCTACTGTAATTTGACAGAGAAATAAACTTATATTGTGTTTAAGCTAGTGTATTTTGGGTATCTTTGTTAAAGCAACTTAGTCTGTACTAAACCTAATAGAGGGATAGATGAACTTGTGAACACAAAAGAGTTAGACTTGCCTAGGAAGGGAAAGTGGATGGAAGAGTTGGGTTCAATTGCCCATTCTGCATAAAAGGCCTCAGGAAGGAACATCTGTACAATACCAAAGAAAGATTCTTCTTTGGGCAAAGGTCATTGAACCTGAGTTGGCTATTTGACCTTCGACAAGTCACTTAAACTTTATCTGACCTTAACATAAAAAGATTGAAGCCCTTGCAACTGTGGCTCAGTTGGTTGAATGTTATCCCTTGCACCCAAAGGCTGCTGGTTCGATTTCTAGGCAGGGCACATGCTCAGGTTGTGGGCTCAATCCCCCCCTGAATGACCAGTAGAGGTCATTCAGGAGGCAGCCAATTGATGTATTGCTCTCACATTGATGTTTCTCTCTCCCTCTTCCTTTCTCTCAAAATCAATAAAAAAGTCTTTAAAAAAAGATTGAAGAAATTGATTTTTCAAGGATCCTTTCTAGCCCTGTCATTCTGTAAATGAATATCATTCTAGAAGAGACTGGAGAGAGATGAGGATAAACCTCAAACATTAAGTACCTGAATTGATCCCCCAGAGATGCATAGTAATACTGGTATGTGGATGAACAGCTGGAGCAGATGTTACGGGTGGGGTCCAGTAGTAGAGACTATTCTCTAATGTGTCTACTTGCAAACTGGTTAATTCTGGATTGATTTCCTTTCTTTTTCTTGAACTTTGCTAAAAGCAAGGAGTGGCAGCCAACACACGTGACACTTGGGAAGAGTCAGCAGCCTTCCAGCCTGCAATGTGTTTCTACCTGCCAATGCCGTATAGATCAAGTTTCTGTAACAAATAGGTGTTTTTTTTTAAAAAAAAAAAATGCAGTAGCTAAAGCAAGATGAACACTTTCCTCTCATGTAATAGTCCAGAGGTAGACAGGCAGTCTAGGGCCTCTTAGGCAACTTTGCTTCACAAGGTAATTCATGGCCGAGGTCCCTTCCTTACTGCTCTGCAATCCCTTAGGGGTCCTTCTTGTTCTCATAGTTTAAACGGGCTCCCCATGGTCACAACTGGGTTGCAGCCCACGTGAGAGGGCGAAGAGGAAGTACAGAACAAGCAGTCTCTCTTACCAATGTACCTGGCTGGTATCTTTGTGGTACAAAACTTACCTAACTTTAATTAACGTCGTTGTGGAACAAAAATAGTAAAAGATTTGCAGAGTCACAGGTGATACAATTGGGAAAAACTGTGCAGTTAGCCACTTCATCATCAGGTCTCATGGTAGCAATCATTCATTTGGGTAGGGCTTTACATTCTCTGTCCTTTCTGACTGTGACATTTCGTTTTTGGTTCTCAGAATAGACAGATTCCAAGTGGAAATTTAAAATGTGGTGTGTAGTATTTACCCTACGAGACTGGGCTTTATACGCCTTACGAGGTTCCCAGTGGCAATATTCACAATAGCATACACATGCTGAACCTATTAATGTGAATAAAAATTGAATTTGTGCCCTAACCGGTTTGGCTTAGTGGATAGAGCGTCGGCCTGCGGACTGAAGGGTCTCAGGTTCGATTGTGGTCAAGGGCATCTACCTTGGTTGTGGGCACATCCCCAGTAGGGGGCGTGCAGGAGGCAGCTGATCGATGTTTCTCTCTCATGGATGTTTCTAACTCTCTATTCCTCTCCCTTCCTCTCTGTAAAAAATCAATAAAATACATTTAAAAAATTGAATTTGTAACCCAGAGCTATTTACATTTTCCCCCCAAAAGATGCCTCCTGATAAAGACAATGCTTAACCCAAGACACTCTTCGTGTCCCTCGGATCATACAATGTTGCCTCTACTAACCTAAGCAGCGCTACCGAAGGGACCTGCACCGAAAACCATTTCGTCCACCCTTTGTTCGAGTTCATTTCTCTCTCCCATATTCCCCTTTTCTTCTGGACTCGGAGTTGGTCACCTAGGATCGGCTTGGAGGACCTGGTTGCTAAGAGACAAGACGCTGGGAGGGTGGGGACGCTGCACTGCGACAAGCCCGGGAGTGAACGCTGAGAGGGGGCAGGGGAAGACCGGGCCAGGCGCCGCGGCCCC